CCAACGGCCGTTAACTCATGGTGGGCAGCGCAAAGCGGCCAAACCTCAGCCGGCACGAAAAACTAAAGCGAAAAGCCGCAACAAGCCAGGCACACAACAGACCAACAGTTGCAAGCCTTCAAGCAACCAGTCGCATCCAATCAAGCACAACTGACCGACCGACCGAAACCCAGCGTAACAGGTCAAGCCTTCAAGCAATCAGTCGCACCCAATCAAGTACAACCGACCGACCGACCGAAACCCAGCATAACGGGTCAAGCCTTCAAACAATCAGTCGCAACCAACCAAGCACATGACTGACCGACCGAAACCCAGCAGTTAATTCCACATCCCATGGTCCCAGCGGTTATTTCCACATCCCAGCGGTTATTTCAACATCCCAGCGGTTATCTCCACATCCGAGCGGTTATTTCAACATCCCAGCGGTTATCTCCACATCCCAGCGGTTATCCCAGTATCCCAGCGGTTAGATAACCGACGTAATGTGTTGCAAACTGCCCCATCGGTTATAAATCGACGTAGGGTTGTCCAGGTTGTGAAATGATGTGGAAAGCTGTTAAAAATCGCACAAGCGATTGGCCAAGCGCCGAAATCAGGCGCCAAGGGCGTGCTGATCTTTTCTGTGAATGCTGCTTTGATAGGCAGCAGGGGTTTACGCTGTTTGACGAGAAGACGAACAAAAAGCGTATATTCCCCGGATGGGGAGCCCACACATGGCAGAAATGCTACTACTACTTAGCGCTCGATAAAGATAGTGCTGAAGCAAAGCGCTATAGCAGTGCGATGATGACGAGGACCGAGCCAGTAGTGCCAAAGCCCGAATGGGGCCAGGAATCGGTGAAGAGAAAAGTTCAAGATGTGGTGAATGTTGATGATGAAGATGAGGGGAAGAAAAAGCAGAAGGCCGAAGAGGCCAAGAAGGCCGAAGAGGCCAAGAAGGCCGAAGGGGCCAAGAAGGCCGAAGTGGCCAAGAAGGCCAAAGAGGCCAAGAAGGATGAAAAGAAAAGACTAGAGATTTTTACGGCGCCACCAAATGTCGCCGAAGAGCTTAAGAAAGCCCGGGCCGAGCAGCCCAAGAAAGATGAAAAGGCAAAAGAAGAGAAAAAGAAGCAGGAGGATGACAAGAAGGGAAACAAGAAGAAGCACAAGAAGGAGAAGAAAGATTCAAACGAGAAGAAAGATGACAAGAAAGAAAGAAAGGATACAAGAAAGAGGTCAATGGACCCAGAAGAGAGCCAAGAGCTCCAAGAGCTCGAGTGAGGATTAGGTTTGAAAAACACCGAGACCAGGTGTATAAACAACGGTCGGAAATTCGAAACACCGAGACCAAGGTGTATAAAGATATGGGTTTCACTTTGAAGCCGAAAGGGCCATGAGAGAAGTGTACGCCGTACAACGGCCCACGAAAAAGCACCACGAAGCTGATGGAGCTGTGTAGAGGCTCGTGGAGCACACGAAAAGCGCAACGATGAGCCAAAAGGCTAACGTCGCAACCGAGACTGTGGCTACTTGCCGTTCCGCGGCTTCGGAAAAGTGAGTGCAACTGCAGACGCAGAGGGCATAGCTTTTGTTAGCTTTCGTCAGTGAGCGCATTGCACTTATGTTTCACAATTCTTTACAGGACCACAGAAGGAAGAAGTGAAGTGAAGATAAAGATATGGAAAGCACAAGCTCGAAGGAGCATGCGAAAAGTGTGAAGATGAAGCTCGAAGGAGCGTGCGACAAATGCGAAGTGGACTGTAGAAATTGTTTGAAGTTCGAGTCAAGTCGAACCCGACTTGAATCGAAGAGGGCGTAACAAACATTTCATTTTCCTACGTGTCCCTATTCTGGACATGTTATACAATGTTTCACTCCGCTATATGTAGGCTCAAGGAGACCCAAGACTGCCACGCGCCGTCCGGTGAAAAGTGAAAGAGCGATCCGGTGATTCAAGGGAACCTTAAAGTTTGGTTTAAAACTTTCACAAGCAGACCAGGAAATCAGTTTCCTGTTCAAGAGCTTGTGTCAGTTGCTCTTGCTGCTGTGCTGTCTGTGCAGCAACTCTCGCCATAGCTTCTGTCGCTTGGCCTAAATTCGTCATCAACTCAGCAAATTGTCTCTGCTGCGCATTCTGTTGCGCCATTGCTTAACAGCTTTGGCAAGTCTTTCCTCTTCCGGCTCAAGGCTCCTTTCCTTTGGATACTTTCACTCTCCCTTCAGCAAGATGCTCTCGACGAATCTTAACTTCTTGCTTTCGCCTTCCAGCCTTCGCTGGTCACCGTTCAGCCCTAGCTGCTTGCCCCTTCGGGCCTTCCCTGGATCAGCTTCTTCAGCTACTGGCCTTCGCCAGCAGCTCCGCTACCATGAAAGTTTTAAACCAAACTTTAAGGTTCCCTTGAATCGCCGGATCGCTCTTTCACTTTTCACCGGACAGCGCGTGGCAGTCTGGGGTCTCCTTGAGCCTACATATAGCGGAGTGAATCATCGTACAACATGTCCAGAATAGGGACACATAGGAACATGAAATGTTTGTTAAAATCGCAAAGCACTCAAGCTCGAAGATCGGGTTCTCGCTTTCAGAAGTATTCAAGTCTGCAAGCGCTGCTTCGTCAAGGTACTCACTGAAGTGAGCGATGTGCGACCCCGTCTCTGAAATCAAGATGCCACCAATGCCAGCTCGCTAAGCGTGGCTGCCTTCAGAACAAAAACCAGGCCGGCGCCCTGACGGTCGGCTTGTTCTCGCCACGCCAGCGGCGTCACTCGGTGCAGCAAGCAGCACAAGTACCTCTGCCGCTATGTCCTCGGGTACATGCCCTCCCACGGGTCCCACGGCATGAGCGGCAGTGTGACCTCCCTCTACATCTCCCGCAACACCCACACCACGCTGCGCAAGGATGTATGCAGACCCGGAACTGCGACGACGGCTACGTTCGACGTGTGCTACGTGGACGAGGACGTTCCGGGCTCCGAGGACGCCCGTGACAAGGACGAGCCTCTCCACGAAGCCTATCCACTTCGTGCCTGGCAGACACCCGGAGAAGGCAGTGATGGAGAGCTCAGACGACGAAGGCGCGGATGGCGCCAAGGAGCCTATGTGTCGGGTTCAGAAGCAAGCTCTGAAGAAGGAGCTTCCATGGCAGGCCATGAGTACTGGTGGACGAGTGGAGCGAATGGCAGAAGTGGTCTTCGTGCCGTCCCGTCTACCTGGACGTGTCTATAAGGCCATGGACCCCCTCGCTGATACTGCGCTCACGCCTTTGGTTTCACTGGAAACCCAAGGGCGAAGGAGCCTTCAAGCCGAAAGCGAGGATCGTCGTAGCGGGATTTCGAGATCCTCATCTTCCGCTACTTTCTCGCGACTCACCTGTTCTCAGCCGAGCCGGACTGATGTGCGTTCTCCAATGGGCGAGAACCAACCAAGTCGACCTGTGGAATGGAGACTGTCAAAGCGCATTTCTCCAAGGAGCTCCGGATGATGAAAGGCTGACGAGCATCTTCATGCGGCCTCCCGATGACCCTGTGAGTCGACAAGCTATGCCGGAGTGGTTGCGGCCGGACTTCCTGTACAAGCTCAGTGCCCCGATCTATGGACAGGCCGACGCTCCGAGGAGGTGGTACATTCATGTACGCAAGGTCTTGACTGAGTTGGGTTGGATACCACATACGTTGGACCCCTGCTTGTTCCTCCTCGTCGAGAAAGTCCAGAACACCGACACCGTGGTGGGGGTGCCAGGCCTGCACGTCGACGACCTCATCCGCGCCTCCTTGAACGGCCTCAAGCGCCACCTCGATGCTGCGCACGCGTCATTCACATGGGGCAAGGCCTGGGACAGCAAGGACGTCGTCTTTGTCGGCAGGAGAATACGACAACGCCGGACCACTCCAGAATACGGTGGACCAGGCCAGCTACGTCTCCGAGGTGCCGGTGACAAAAGCCAAGTTGGAGCCTACGGAACGCCTCTCGGACCACCCGGAGTTGATCACCGAAGTCAGGTCGGGCGTCGGCAGTCTACAGTGGCCGGCGAGTACAACTCGCGGTGACATATCCTCGGATGTGTCTCTTCTATACAACGACCCCCCTCCGAGCTCACCGTGGAGGACCTGCTGGAGATCAACGCGGTTTTGCGCTACGTCGCTACGTGAAGGCGACGATCGAGTCCTTCTACAAGATAGTGTCCGTGCCCTGGTCAGAGATGATGCTGGTTGTATATGGCGACTCGGGCTTCGGCAACACGCCCAACGGCAAGAGCCAAGGCGGCTTGGTGGTGGTGGCTACTACGAAGCGCGCCCCTCTTGGAGTGGCGCAGCTACAGACACCAACGGGTACTTGGAAGTACACTTGAGGCTGAAGCTGCTTCTCTCGACAAGGCCGAGGACTACGGGAACTTCCTGGCAGCAATGCTCTCAGAGATGCGCGATGCAAGCCATCAAGCAACCATGCGCGCCCGGCTGATCGAGGTGATCCCCGTGACGGATGCCAGAAGTCTTGGGACGCCGTTCACAGGCTCACGACGAGCTTTCAGGAGAAGCGCGTGGAGATCAGCATCGCAGCGCTGGGGCAACAATGCCGCAATCTTCGTTGGGTTCCGACAGAGATGCAGATGGCCGACGCCGTGACCAAGCGGAACCGCGCACTCCGTGACCGGATGGATGGCCTCGCCCGTTGTTTCCCTGGTGGAAAGTCATAGCCCGGAGGATATTTCGCTCCTAGGGCAAGCCAACGATCCCTGGCGTG